TCACCTTGGTGATTAACAGACTCCTTTTGTTTTTGGTGATTCAGTTCAAATTCAATGAATCCCAAACTCAGCTCAAAACAGACACTATGCTCAGCACGCTATAAAGCATGTAAAGCGATCACATTCCAAAAGGACAAGCAGTCCCAAACAAACGAAAAAAAAGAGATTATGTATGTACAAAAGGAATCTACCGTCCTGATCCAAAGGGCTTAGCGTTTAGATGACAGTTGCGCCGGGCAGCCCTTGTTTGCAGGGGCTGAAGAGGAGCGGTATATGCGGCCCGGAGGCCGGATCTGTTCCAACTGTGCCCTGGCAAGAAACCGCTCAGCCCAGTCGGCCTCAACAGCTTGGATATTCACAGGGGGCGATGGAAAACTGGAGGGCTGGAGGGCTGTTGTACGTTGATGGAGCTGGGGGAGCTCAGAGAAGAAGAGTAGGGGAGGGTGAGTCAGGAAGAAGGTGTTTTATACTATTTCTGGTGCCACAAGGACATGGCATTTACTGTGAACAAAGAGAAGAACAAACTTAGGCTGGTGATGAGGGTCCTTGTGTCTGTGTTGACCTGCGGTGATGAAGTTTATCATTCGGCAGGTATGTGAGGAGAGAGTTTTGAGTAGTTTTTAACATATTCTGAAGGTGTATTACCTTGCTGCACTGCAACTCCTTGCTTTGATGATGATTAATTTTAGAAGCCCGGAGTTAAATAATACATTCATCACTGCAGAGTGAAATGCACCCCCAATAGTTTATGAGAAGAAAAACAGCAGAGTGATTTGTTTCTTTTCTCTTTGACCTTACTAAAGCTATGACATCTGGTCATTTTACAAACACTTGTGGGATTTTTTTATACATCAATGGCATTAGAGTAAGTATCATTACTTGATCTAGTGGGACAAATGAATTATTCATCCTCCTCTCTTGGGGATGCATAGTTAAAATATGAATTCTGACTCAGCTTGAATATTATATAAAGGACTTTTGATGTTGGACAGCTTTCTCTTCACTTTAATAACCCAAACCAACTTCACAAGTGCAACAGTCTTTGAAACACCGCCGGATATACTTGAAAAATATATGTTTCCTTTAGGTTTCCTCTTTAGAAGTGTATTAGTCGAAGGTATCACCCCGACTTAAATGGTCTTGTTTACCTATTATTGCCTCCTCTTTCACAGAACCACATTTAAAAAAGGTAGACAAGAAAAAGAGTGCAAAGCTGTACACTTGACAGCACTGATTAACGTTCGAAGCATCGGAAAGTAACACAGCAGATAAAAAGGTCAGCGTTGCATGAGGGAAAACAAAACTATTGGCTACACTCTCACTGTTGCAAAAAGGGACATTAAAAAACCAGAGATTTGTTTGCTGCTGTGCGCCCTAATTCATTCATCCCTCCCTACCTCTTTGCTCCAGGGTTGTACCAAGGCAAAGCCTCATGGGAGACATGACTGACACCTCCTAATCCTTGAGGATAGCAAAAAGCATGTCATTACCATGAAATTTACTCCATCTTCTAAGACACAAGCCAAGCTGTGAGATAAACAAAGGCATAGAAACAATGAACAAAACTCCAAAAATAGGAAGTGTAAATTTTTAACATGTCATGTTCTAGGTCACAATCATAGTTTAGGTACTTTGAGCAATAAGCATCCCTCCACCCCAGATCTATTAATTCACAACTGGGGTACCCTACATTCCAAAAAGAGGCATATTTTGTTTATCTTGAACACCAGCGGGCAGGCTGGCAGGCTGGCAGCGCTGGAGGAAATGTGACGGAAAGTGGAGCACAAGAGTTATGACCTCAGCAAACAGCTGATTAAGGGGAAGATGAGTGAGAAAAGGAGATGTCTGTCAAGCTAAGCCTCCAAACAGATGGACAAGTGTAGCACACGAAGAGACCAGCGGGTCCCCGGGCTCTGTGGCAGATTCGGTTTTATGGCGTACCACACAAACAGTTTAGGGGGAAATGATTAACCCAAAACAGTCAATCATTTCCAATTACATGTAAATATTTTCCATCTTTTATTGATTTGTTTACGGAACGCTGGGATCTACAGTTCCAGAAGTTTGAAGTATGGGGAAAGAGAAATGCTGAGTTTCTCTGTACACAGTGGATGTGTACAGAGATTTAGTTATCTTGTTTTCATATACTGTTGAAATCTTTTGAGTCCATGATGATGAATTAAATTCTTTTTATTCGGCTGTGTGAAATATTTGATTCTAATTAGTTAAAATCCTACAACAACAACAATAATTCCTGGCTTATTTCCCCTCTGCTCGCTAACACTATGGCAAAAACATTTCCATCTCAGGCTGGTCTTGAAAGTCAAGAACTACTGACAACCATCGGGCACAGATGTGAGCAACTTGAAGAGCTAATGGGCCCAAAGCCAGTAGCTAGAGTGAGATCCTGTCCTGCAATCCATGCTATGGAGGCAAAGCTGATGAGTGCTGAGATATTTGTGCCATTTTGGTCTGAAAACATGCCAACTGCAGAACTCTGAGGAGAAGGAGAGCTGGTTGGGGGCAGAAATGCCAACAAAAAAGTCAGTTTAAGGGGAATTGTAACAAAAAAAAGCAAGTTAGAGTTTTAACTTGACTGTTAACTTAAGTTTAGAGTTATTTTGTTATACAAATTTCCTGATTTCCAAGCATAAATCAATCATTTTTCCGTCAAAGAAATCATATTTAATACATATTTTGCCGGTTTGTTCATGTCTAATCACTTCACAACACCTAACTTAACCTTCTATTTAAGGTCTATGACTTAGTTTTGCAGTCATTCTTGACCAGGTCTTGTTTGTCGAGAATCTTTAATCTAAATGGAAAAGTCCAATAAAACGCAGTTTTAAAAATCTTTATAACTCACTGAGTTTTGTCAGCTTTAGTTCCTCCACCCTATGACAGAAGACGCTTTTACAGCTGCCTATATAAAAGTATTACAGCGGCAGTTAATTGCCAGCGAGCTTCATTTAATGAGCATGGAGGTAAATTTAATTACTTGCAGCCCTTTAATAAACAGGAAAAGAAAGCAATTGGTGTTCAAGTAAAGTTTTGACAGATTACAACTTATCCTAACTCGTAGGCCAAGACTTCGACAAATAATTGGACCATTGTTTCCTGACACACAAACACACACTGTTGACCATTTACTAGCCAGCAATGTTCCACTCGTGTGATCACAATAACAGAAAGTGTTTTTATTGGTGTAATGTGGCACTGGGGGGCTGACCTGTGTCTGTGTATCTCCCAGGTGAGACGGTCAACTATCTGCAGGGTATTATAGTCTCTCATCTCCCCCCTTAGGTCTGCACACACTATATTCTCCATCGTCTTTCCCCCCGAGCTCACTATCGCCTTACTACCTCTACTTTCGCACTGACAGCCAAACAATAGGAGCTGGGGCTTCCTTAACGAGTAGAAAGTGGAGGCTCGACTAATTAGAGGCACCCCACCCCACCCCCCTCCACAGCATCGCCTCCAACCCCTCCTGTTAACTCAGAACAGTGTGATACAGCTTGGCCACAGCTAGGACTGTTGAGTCCATTGTGAGAGAAATAGGGGCTGGAAGTTGTTTTTTTTTTTCCTCCTTCTTCCTATTCTACTGGCTGCCGGCCAATGGGGGACCGTAGTAATTGCCCGAATCCCACTGTGGCAAGTGAGGAGAAAGAGTGTGAGGGTGGCACAAGCCAAGGAAAGTGGGAAAGTGAGAAAATGCTGGGGCTGAGTGTGGGAAAGAAAGTGTAGCAACCTTTAAAAAATGCGGACAGCGAAATAGGATACAGATAGAAGTAGTGAGAGATGAAGTGATAGTATTTTTCCCTGCCAGTACAGATTCTGATCCCGCGATTTGGGTTTTGGCAATGCGTAGTGCTCCTCAGATACAAGAGAGATTTAAAAAAAGAGAGTTACAACTGCTGGAAAAAACACGGATGGCTGGAAAATTTGCTTGCTTTGGCTACGATTACGGCAGAAACACCATATTCTGTTTTTAGTGAAACACATTGACTTACATAAAACAGCTGATCATTTGAGGAGTTAATTGGTCATGGTGTGGGAAAGCTGCATTTGCTGGCCCCACTACATTGTAAGAGATTATTTGGGATGTTCAGATCTGTACTATCAAATCAGAGCCAATCTGGTCGTTTTTTTTAACTCCTCAGGGATGAAAACAGGCAACAGGGTGTAAAAATATGACAAACTTTCGCATTAGCAGCCCTTAAATGAGGCTAAAATGTCAGCAGTGTGAAAATATATCAAACCAAAGAATGGAGACAATCCAACAGCCACTTGTTGTTTATGAAAAACCAACATTTCACAAGGTGGTCACGGTAGAGCTGTTTCCAATACTATTGTTGTGTTCTTCTATTAATGTGCTGTATGAAAACATTGCCAGCTGCACTGACGCAAATGGAATTAACTGAAAACAGCTTTTAGTTCATGTCTTTACTTTAGTTATTTCTGTGTACAAAAAAACAGATGCAGCTCAATTATTTAGGCAAATATAAGTACTGGGTTGGGACTGTCTGTCAGCAGATACTCAATATAAAACAAACTGGATTGGGATTGGGGGAATACCTGTCATGAAATTTTCCTGGCGCCTATTTGGTGGGTACTCAGTGCTAGTGACAGAGTTCAGTTTGGAAAGGCATGGGAGAATACTAATACGGGAAGACGGTGGGAAAGAACGGTAAATTACTGTGGTTTCCCAGGCAAAATGGGATACTTGACAGCAATGGATTGGGGACCAAAAAAGCTGATTGGGACTTCCAATGATCTACGGCGAACAGGGATGATGTGATATCAGAAACAGAGCAGCTCTCGACAGAAAATAGTTATAACAGATGTTTAACTGAAAAACACTGAATGATATGTAGGACAAGCTGTTCACAAACAAGGCAGACAGCCCGAGGATTTTGTTGCATGAAACTAAAACAAGAAGAAAAAAAACTCTTATCACTTTGGAGTTAAGTGAAAATAGAAATGACCTGAGGTGCTACTCACTAGGGAAAGGCAGACACGGGTGCAGGGAGCGTCTTGGCTGTTGGAGTGGAACGGAGCAGGGTGCAGCGGCGGCTGCACAGTGGGCCCTCGCTGGACGCTTCAATCACAGGCAGCCGAAGCCCCGGGCAAACTTGGCCAATTAGCCGCACACTGCCGCTGACCCCCAGCTTCATTAAGGGCCCGGGCTCTGGATGGGGGGAGAGAGAAAAAAAAGGGAGAGAAGAGGAGAGGATTAGGGGAGAGAAAGTGCCAGGTTTGAGAAGAGACACAGATGCGTTTGCACAGAGACGTACGCCAGAGGTGATGCTCAAGGTTACAGATAAACACAT